ACGAAAACTATTTTTTATGGACTAAAATCTATGGATATCAAGATTCCATAAGCTTGCTACTAAAATCAATTAACAAACGAAACATAATGTATTTGAATTTTGCATCAGTTTAGTTTGAAAAATCCAATATATTTCGAGTTCAGTGCACATGAAAATGTTTATAAAACAAGTATGTATGCAGGCCTAGTTAGATTTATGGGCTAATAAATATCTGTGTGTTTATATTTTAAGAGTATTCCTACGGGATATAACCAGCTTTTGTAAACCTACTCTCTAACTGTATCTCCTTTCAATGCACTTTAAACTAATATAAGTCCTGCATGGTCAGTTATTATCTTATTTTGGCACTAAGCAACAATACTGCAGCTATATGGTTGGTTAGAAAGGGTCTTGGTGTAATTTATGTCTTGTCTTCAACACACTACTTCCTATCCTACAATGCACAACTACTCTACATTAAGACCAATTTCCAAGCTTCTTTCTAAGTAGTAGAAGTATTTCTTTTAACTCAAGTATTTTCTTATTTCCATTTTTGTAATTTTAGTCTTACAACAATTTGATGGTGAACTGTATTAAATAATCATGTTAAAAATGTTTCTAGTATGCCTATTGCTTTGGAAACTTCACTCACCCCATTATTTTTTATGTTACTTATAGCGAAAGAAGAAAGCTATCGAATAAGAGTGTTCATTTATGGCATTTCACAATGTATTCGTTCGCAATGTGTTAACGTTTAATGAGTCAAAACCAATTCATAAACAATAAAATTGTCCATTTAAAATCAATAATTTAAAATAACATAACAAATGTAACAGATTTTTAATGACATCTCGATTAAAAAAAAATATTTTATATAAAATAGCCAAAATACTGTATTCTGTACACTATTTGGTCATGTAAAAACTTACATCCTTTTGTTGAATGCAAATAAACAAACAAGTTAATGGAATGCACAGTGAAAATACATTGTGATATTACATTGATAATTTGTATTTGATGTAACATTAATAGGTAATAAGACCTTGGGATATAATATCAGTTTTGAAATTGTATTATTATTTTTTATAGGGCGAAGATAATAACCCATTGGTGAAGATAGAAATGTTTTCGTACAATCTCGTATCTTGTGATTAGTCCGTAATAGAGTGCGTGTTTAATATCCACGTGGATTAAACCACAACAATTACTGTGAATGGGGACCAATACTCATTCTTTTTTAACGGTTATTGAGCATTTTATATAAAGGGAAACCGTTATAGAAGCAATTGCACTTTGCATGATAATAGCAGTATTCGGTGAGTATTTCCTAGAATATTAAAGGACAATAGAATAATTCTATTAAAATTATATAGAGTTATATTATATAACTTAACTTTAAGGTAAAGTTAGACATGGCGATTTTTTGTTTTGTTATTATATAAATTTATATAATATACGGACTTTAATACACTCGTGAAGATAAGAAATTATAATTGTACGAGCGTAGGTTATCCGATGCTGTAGGGGATGAAAACTTCAGATATTATTAAGTTTGTTGATAGATTAAAATGTATAAAGAATACTTATAATATTTATTAAAATTGGCCACGTATATAACGTTAGAGTATTTACTAAACTGGTTTTATCTTTCAACGACACATCAATATACATTTTGTAATTTCTGTCATTAGTGGTTTTAATATGTTTATCATCGTATTGTATACCATAACCCCATAGTTTTACTTCTGACAAAGATGTAATTGCATAAAGGATGTTTTTTACAACGTTTGTTTAAGAATATGTAGTATTTTAATGAACGTGCCAATTTATGGAAGTTCTTGCAATCCAAACGATGCTTGCGTTTACTTCATTCAAGAGGATATAGTGTTATGATATCTAATATATAAAATAATCTAAATATAAATCTAAATAATCTAAATAATATAAAATAAAATATAGTACTTGCCTTTAAATCTGAGGATTGCTGGTTCAATTCAAAGCGGTGTCAATTTGTATACCAAGAGGCCTAGTTTCAAGATATCACTGTTTCGTTAATTGATAGTGTTATCTTTCAAAAGCTAGAATATAGATAATAACTAGACTAGGGCTTAGCTTGGCCGTTAAAAAAACCCCTTAAAAACGCTCACTGTAAAACAATATGGTAGCTTTAGTATATTCTTATTATAAGCTTGATCACGTTTTTCACTGCACAGCTCTATGCCTCATCGTGACGATGCTATATGGTTTCTAATGACGTTTGGTACGTTATATCATTGACTTTATATCTCTACACGTGTAGAGATATAAAGTCAATGGTTATATTTCCGACATCTTCTTAAATCGTTTGAGCCTACTCTACCTAAAACAGTCAATACAGTCAATGGTTGAATAGTCTTTGCATGTCTTCAAAAAATTTTTATTACGAAATTAAGCTCGAAAACTATAAACAGCAACCAAGTTAGCTTGTGTTCGATATGTACTCGCCATAATAAGTAGTCATCAATAAGTGGTACATTAATATTTACTGTGAACAAAAATTACCGCATTAATTGTAGCATGCCAAGAGCAAAACAAATCATACATTTTTTTATTATTATATACGTTTTTGTGTAAATAATTCCCAAATAGAGGAAAACGCAACTCTACCTAAAAAATCTTGTTAAGATAAAGTGAACCTACAACTTAAGCTCTGCTCCGATCCGAAGTGAGGTTCTCGGTATATACATTTATGCCTAAATTTTGTTGGCAACTTGCTCATTTAAAACCTAGGCTATTCTCTAATAGTTCAACCAGAATTTAATTTAAAAAATATAGGTTTTTATTTAATTAAAAAATATTTCTTTTAAAGTGCATTGAAAGGAGATACAGATAGAGAGTAGGTTTACAAAAGCTGGTTATGTCCCGTAGGAATACTCTTAAAATGCACACACATTTTATCAGCCCATAAATCTATCTGGACATGCATACATATATGTTTTTTTATAAATATTTGAATTCACCCTGAACTTGAAATATATTAGATTTTTCAAACTAAACTCATGCAAAATTAAAATACATTATGTTTCGTTTGCTAACTAATTGGTTATGGTAGCTAGCTTATGGAATGTTGATATCCGTAGATTTTAGTTTGTAAAAAAGAGTTTCGTCAATAAATAAATAAAAATTCCTTTAGATGAAAACTCTAGATACTCTACATACATAGAAAATATACAGTAGAATTTTAATATCGGTGATTTCCCGGGGTAGAATCACCCTCACACACGGAACTGCGCCATTTACCCCACAGTTATCACCAGTCATGACGTTAACTTGGTTACTTTACGATTTAATCTGCTAACTGTTCATCCTGTAGCAGAACAATTCCAGTTGATGTCATAAACAGTACCCTGTAGTGCTGTATTCATTTCAAATATTGCTTTCAGTTATAAGAGTTATGCAACTGGGATTCCAGTACACACTAACCAGTTTTGTAGTGAGATAAACAACCCTGTAAAGATAAACCAAATAACTAAATTTTGTTAAAATTTTTATCAATATAGGCTTTGTAATATATATTTTTACGAACAACTTTCTATTATTTCTAAAAACAAATTATACAATTGGTTATTATTAGTACCTTTGAATTAATTCGATAGAGAAGCTTCAAGTGAAAAAATATGATAAAATACGTTACAGGAAAAAATAATGCAATAAAACATAAATAAAACATAAAAATACGACAAAACAAATCCATAGCAAAATAATAAGAGTAATAATACGACTAGTTTCGGGTTAAATTCCCATTTTCAAATACTTTTCTTGGCAAACATAATTAACAACTACCTGAAAAATATAAAATTACTTTAAACATTAAACAAACGAGAAGAAAAAACAAATATTTACACAATTTACAAATGCGTAAGGCTAGCCAAACACAAAACAAGAACATGTATATTGGTACGAGCATAGGTTAGCCGATGCTAAGGGGTAAATACTTTACATACTATCCGAATTCTGAGTTTGAATGTAACATAATATACATCGATGTCCATAACTTGTTAAAGTAGTTTCTTCAACTGTAAACATAGTTTTTTTTTTCGAACGAAAAAACAATGTCATAATTAATAATACGGTAATTAAATCTTATAAAAAAAATATTATTGTATTTTTTGTCTCGTAGAACGCGATTCTATCACTAAACTGTTCTTTATCTTTTTGTGCCAGTATTTGTTTTTACCTTGTATAACGTTAAAAACGTTTATAATTATTAACAAGAGAATTCCGTATAATATTATTCACTATATGTGTGTATAAAGGTTTTTTTAGGGAGATGATTGGAAATGCTTTTACGCACACAGTTAGCCAGCCTGTAGTGTGAGACTCCTGGATTTATCAGAGTACTCACTAAAAAAAACCCCTCTACTTTGTTGGTCACAGACCTGGGATTGTTTGTCACATTACTTCAAGTCAGACCAACATGTGACCTAAGCCCTCAGGGCTCTCGCCGTTTCTGGCATAAAGATTCTTTATGACCCACACCGCATCCCGGTCAAGGTCGATCAACTTGGATTTTATGTATTGAGGGGTGCCTAAACTCTCTAAGGATGAAATAAAACTTAATTGTTATACAATGTTACTATTAGTAGCAGAAAAAAGTCCAATAAGTAGATAAACATTCAATTTAACATCTAAGAAAAGCACACCCAAAATTTCCAAACTCCCCTAAACATTAAATTCCAACTCAAAAAATACTCGTCAAACAAAAACCACAATCTAATTTCAATTAGGGAAAACACAATTTGGTTTCCGCAAAATATACTAAACAATCCCAAATAATTGAATTAGTCCAAGAACGAGTCTGTAATTAACTGAGTGGATTTGACGATTCACAATAATTAGTTTGGTAGACGACTGACGTCGTATCTGGTGTAGCTGAGGGATGGTTGTACGGTAATTAGCATAGAGTAACCAGCCAGTGGTGGTGGGAGTGGGTGGGTGGTGGTGGGGGAAGACCACCCTCTAGTAGACCAGTCGGTGAATGTTCGCGACCGAGGATGGGTTATGATACAAGTCTTCTCCTCATCGCGTTCTCCCTTGTATATGGTACGTAGTTTTACATTAAATAGTTTAGTTGCTGTTTTAGTTTATTTTTTAAGTACAGTCACTAATTATTTAGGAAATGTTTAGACAGTAAGTAATGGAAATAAAAGTGTTTATAAAGGGATTTGAACATTGTGTATTTATTTTTTAAACAATCTTAATTGATTACATGTGGTAACTAATTTTAGATTTCTCTTTAACGTGATCTCCCCTGTTTACAGTACTACCACGTTGAGTTAAATAGGATTTTTTTTTATTGATTCCAAATATACTTTTTTTAGTTTTGTAACCTATTTCCATAAACTCAATATGAGATGTTATTCAATTTATTTTAACCAAGTAATGCAGGTAAAACTATTTGACAACTTACAGCCTAAGAATTTAGTTTTTAGATAAGTTTTACAAATTGAATAGTAGATACAACACTTTTAATAACTGAAACAATTTTAATAAAAATTAATTTTACAGTTTTTTTTGCAGCAACATATTATTGCTGACGTATCCTTGGATGTGTAGTTATTGTATTATGCCTACCATGATAACGAACAAGTATCGTACCTTAAACTCAGATAGGTGAGGGAAGGATAAGTTATACATGGCCTGTATGCTTTTATTATACTTAAAACGTATATAGTATATGAGCTTTCGGTTATTAAATAATTTTTTTATCTTCACAAGTGTATTAAAACTTGTGAAGATAAGAAATTATTTAATAACTGAAAGTTGTACTGACATAAAACATAAATATAATAGTAACGTAAAGTAAAAACTAAACAAAAAAAAACACTTAAAGCTTATAACAGTTTAGTTTTGTCTAGGGAAAGTTTTGTATCAATTATTTTTATATATCCCGTATAAACAGATCATGCATCCGAAATTATGGCTAGCAATAAATGGAAGCTGGTAATAACAGAACTCATGTATGGAAATATTTTATTTTTATTTTTTAAATTTAAAGCTAAAAAAAATTCTCTAAACTAAACGAATACATATGTAAGTAACATCCTCTGAAATGCATTCGTTTGTCAAGTACGAAAATATTTTATCTTTGACTTTAAGTACTTTACACATAAATGAATAATGTTTATATGAAAACATTCCATATAAATATTATTGTACAGTAATTGAAAATAAATAGATTGATGCTAGAAAATTTAATAAGGTTAAATTAAAAAAGGTTAAAATATAAAACAACCAGAAGCAATGCAGTAAATATTGTTAAGGTATATACCAAACGATTTGTTAAAAATAACATAATTCCAAAACACCTGGTCTATTTGTTTTTCAACTCTTGCTTACTAAACTAAAAACCATTTTATAACCATCCAGTAAAATGGAAATAGTATACACATTGTTTAATACAATAAGGGTCTAAAAAATAAGTAAGCTTACTCACGTATATCGATAGCATATATTATGCTGTAATTAAATTTACAATAGTTTATAAGCAATGTGTCTGAAAACAAACCATCACGACATAAAACAGGGATACATAAAAAATAATTATATAGCATAATTAAGTTTAAACTAAAAAAATACTTCAGTTTACGGACGATTATATTGGTTATATCAACAAATTATGGAAGTAATGATAATTTTCAAAGTTATACTGACTATATACGTTGATGGCATATTCAAACGTATCGCTGTCCGTTTTAGTTTGATAATCCAGTCGCAACGGCGTCCAAATCTCGTAGTTGGTATTCAAATGACCAGTCCAGAAATTCCAGCATTTGGCCTCCCTCCAGTGCTTTTTGTTTCCGGCCCGTTTTATGCCCTCTATCTCTGTTCATCTCCACCCGTGTTTCCAAGTTTTGTTTAGCAAATGGATTTATACAAATCCTAAATTGTTTATGGTTTTTATGTTTTGGGACTTCTCTCTGTGGTTATGTTTTTTGTAAATGGGTTTTTTCGACAAAACGTTGGCCGTATCCGTTAAAAGCATTTTTGTTGTTTTGTTCTGTGAAATTTACTTTTGGGAGTATGAAACTTGTTAGTGTTATTTTGTTATAATGAAACTAATTGCCTGCTGCTACACAGTTACAAGTTCCATCTTTGTTTCATAAATGTTGCTGTTAATATGATCAATTTGTTCCTTACTTAAACGAATTACTTTTTGTGTTATTTGTAAGCAACGAGCGAATAGGGAAAAACAATTCATTTATAATTAATAACATTTATTAAATCACTTAAGTGTAATAAGTTATTGGAAGTTTATAAGTTTGTGTCTTCACGTCGACCAATATTTTGACTATGTGTGTTAGCAATAACATACCACACTAATATAAAGAATTAAGGGTAAAAAAACTATACTATTATAAAATTGAGACCACCTCAATTTTATAATAGTATAGTATATAAAAGTATATAATAGTATATACAGACATCACGTCTGTCTGGGAAGCTGTCACGACTAAAATACTAAACCGATTCAGCAAAAATTAAGCACAAAGATGGTCCACATATCTGGGAATGTCATAGGTCTATTCACTCATCTGAGTTCTTCTCGGGCTACGCCCCTTGGATGTCTAATGGTTTAAGGTGAGGTTTTCAAAAGTAAATATTAATTGGTCTCCATGGAAGCGAGGGAAAATTCCCAATGTTTACCTTTGCGTTAAAACTTTAAGCTTTGAAACTTTGTTTTTTGCGCATTTCACAATTTCAGACAGCTGATCTAAAGAAATCTAGACATATTTTACACAACAATGTGGCAGGATTATTTAATCTACAGCTTTATGATATATTATTTATTATAAATCTATTTCAATGATTATTATTAAACTGATTTTCCTCCCGTAGCGAAGCACGGGTACAGCAGCTATTAATATATAATGCAATAGTATAATTACTTGTGTATCTAAAGGAGCATGCTTGTCTAAATGTTATCTTTGTAATCTATATAAATAAAAACGAATCCCTTTTTTGGTGGTTTTCCATAACTCAAGAACGAGTGCACGGAATTGGATGATTTTTGTTGTTGTGTTCTTTGGTGCCAGGGGAAGGTTTTTATGTAAAGAAATTTATAATCCATCCAACCGTTATTTAGTAATTTGATTTTAAAATTCGAAAAACAATTACCTATACATTAGCTCACTCACTTCAACCTGGAGGCGAGTGAGCGTAGCGAACAAAGTTCAACCAGAACGTGATTGAGCGATGCGAACAAGCTCATCTTGAAAATAAACGAGCGTTTGACATAAAACCACATTATTAGGATAGGACGACGTCTGTCGGATCAGCTAGTTTTAGATTGAATTTAATTTTTTATGCATTTTTCATAAGCATATAGAGCTTGTATCTGACCAGATAATGTAAATTTATCGGATAGTTCCTTTAAATGTATTTTAAAAGAGACGTTAATTATTTCACCTACATGTGCCATATTTCACTACATAGGTAATATACAATGGATAAGGTTAGGTTCCATTTAGTGGACATGTAGTGTGGTATTTGATATTATATAAAATGAATAAATACATTTTGTAATGATTAACCATTTAGGCTCTGCAATTAAAAGAGCAATTTTAAAATTCAACAAAACATTGAAATTGAAAAAAAAAACTAATTGTCAAATCACGATATGTAATCTATGTTGAAATGTTAGTTCCATCCTCAAGCTACTGAGGGAAATGATAAATTCAAAATAGATAGTAACTTGAATCATTCGTTATTTGTTTAAATCTTTTTTAAGTAGCCGAGTGAGTAAATGTTCAGTAACAGACATTATGTAGAGTTGCCAGAGCAGCGCTATCCATCTACTTGCTGCTGTTTTATTCAAGTGTCGCTAGAAGCGTTCTTCTGTCGTTTATAGCTTCTTGTGTAATGACTGATACATCTTCATAACCACACCAGTAGCTCAAGACTACGTATAGTCTACCAAGGTATAGGACATACACTAGATGTATACTATGTAATGACCTCTTCTAAATAGTTTGTAAATGCTCATTTGATGAAAAACAAATCCGTATGCATTAACCCGGTCTTAATATATAAATTATAGGTATTTATTCGTCGACAAAAATTACATAAAACTTTGCAGTTAAGCCTCCCCTAAAATATTTAAAAACAAAATATTTATCTTCACTAAAATCTTTAAAAACAAGAACCTTATGCTTAATAGAAACATATATAATAATATATTCATTTGTAGGCTTATATGTCAGGTGCCATCACTAAATTCTCGATCTTCCAGTGAGAGCAATGTTAAATCGGTATTTACACGGTTTTGGTGGATATCATGCATACAATATTAGCATGGTTATTTTAATAGTGTTAATACTAATTTGACGTGACTCTCAACGAAATACCCAGCATTTGTTTGCTAAATATGAGTTAAGTTTTTTTGTTATTTTTTTACGTATTATAAGGTATTTTAACCTCTAGTAATAAGTTTAGTTTAGTTCAGACTACATATTCAGCAGTTATTACATCAAATGCAACGAGTGTATATTTAGAGGATATGTTTCAAACATATTTTGGATATTATTTGCAAATACCTACTACGCACCAGTATATATATTATTTTAATTAAATCATCAAAACAAAAAATAAATTACTTGGCAAATAACTAGTCCCATACGCATAAGATTCATCTTAAAGGACTGTCTTGGTAACACATAAATGTAGTAGAATGATTGAGCTCCGACCGAATCACCCCTATTTCCGTTCAAGAGAGACATAACATCCATTGTTAAACAGACCAAAGCTATTTGCACACAATGGATGGGTCACTAGTTTGCCCATGATGTACTTCATTGAGTATCTCTTACTTTAATGTCTTTACTGTTAAGACCCTTTAACCATTTAAACTTTAAGACTTAAATGTAAAGACAAGACAAGAATATTTGAATACTCTACGGTGTGGATTGGGAAGGGCAATTTTTGAGGGGGGATGTTTTATATATCGTAATTTGCCAAATAAAATTTATAATTCGACAAAATACGTTGGTTATAAGTTCACGTTTCAAGCAATAAGTTTTCTTTTCAATACATGATAAATAACT